GTCGAATAAGAAGAGCCAAGCTCCAGTCTTCCACCATCTCCTCATTCTTCCACACATCAGTGAAAATCTCAAACAGCCAGCGAATAACTGGCTCACCGCCAGCTTTGAGCAAGTCTGCTGTAACTTCATCACTGCCAGGAGCGTTCCTTGATTTCATTTGCTTCGCATATCTGATCCCAGTACTCAGTTTGACGTTCATTAATTTTTCTTTTTACCAGCTTCCTCAGACGTTTGTACTTGTTTAACGGAGTACTCAAAGTCACCCAAGTTCCCAAATTTTCAATCTCTATCATTTAAAAAGATTGGGTTATAGATATTATAGTAAAAGGTCACGGACACACGGCTAACGTTTCGGAAGTATTTTTTTCTCTCCTGTCCTAAATAACACAATTTCGACTATTATAGGAGGCGACATAGTAATAAAAAACTGGAAATGCTGAGCTGGTTTTACGATCTTTATATGGAAGTTTAGATGACTAGAGATTAAATATAAGCGAAAGCCTGGCATCACCAGACGTTTTTTCGCTCTAAAATTGTTTAATTGAGAAAAGAGTTCTACAAAACATAGAGTAGAAATCTTGCATTCTGCACGTTCCGAATATGTAGTTGCGTAATATATGGAAGATCCATGGAACTCACAACGCCAACAACCCAAGCAGCAATCTACTATTGTCAAGAAGAAAAAGCCAAAAGTGACAACACAAAAACTTGGTCGTTATAGCGGTGAGCTACAACCGGATGACGACAGTGTCATTGAAGAAAACAGCCAGTGGCGCAACTACGAAGCTAGTCATTGGGTCAGAGCCGTATTCGAATTGGGCTCTGACACGATTCGATATCTCGACACCACAAGTGTAATATAATACCTAAGCCATAATCAATAAAAACTAATGGAAAAAGGTTTCACGTTGACACTCATATTAATAACGTCAGGTCCTTTCCCAAAAAAATGTAACTGAAATTTCAAAGGTGGCCCTCGATCGTTAGATAACTGTGTTTCAATAATCGTTCAGAGTCACCAATAAAATTTATACAGCAGAAAGAGGAGAGTCATGAATACATTTTCTTAAAAACGGAAAATATTTTCAAGTCAAAAGTTATTGGCATTTTACGAAAAACGCTTTTACCTCAACAAGTATCCAGTTAAAGAGGCCAAAACTGGTTGAACGATCAGCATCCAGTGAGACATATAATCAAGCCAAATTTGAAGTTCTAAAACTAATATAGTTCTTGAGATCCATGGGAAACTTTTGACTGGTGCAGTATGAATTAGCGTGTCCGGGGAAATTTGCAAGCCCCATATATATACACACATTACATTGATTAGCAAATGTATTTAAAAGAACATCACACATATAGATGTACGTCTGATGTCGATGAGAAACAAATGTAAATATACATTAAGCCATCATAGCGAAATCGTAAGTACACGCCTCCCATGTTGTGAAAACCGCTCGAAAACCGTCAGTTAACCGCGGTTATTTCAGCTGAAATCATCGCAACACAGCGTAAAAACCGACGGTTAAGCGCGCAGTTAACTCGGTAATCGACGGCTTAACCGCCGGGGTTTACGCTGTGTTGCGATTGTTTCAGCTGAAATAACCGCGGTTAACCGACGGTTTTCACAACATGGGCTCGGTCAACAGTTTCACTTAAGTTTCGTTGTTTAACATTTTGTTGTTTAATATTAAACAAGTTTTGTTTAACATTTCGAAATTTAAAATTTCATTATCAAGAAAAATAATAATAGACACTCATGCACTTTCACTGCATAGAAACACGTTTCTTGTCCATATATTGTTATTTTCTTGATAATGAAATTTTAAATTTCGAAACGTCGAACTCCATAAACTACAATAGAGTGAAGTGCAATAGGAATTACGCATAAAATAATGTAGATGCAGATTATAACAAAGCGTACAAGTAAATAACTACCGATTCATTCCACAAATAACGAACAACACATATGGGTAAAAATAACTTTTTCAATAAACGATAGTTTACAAGGATAGAACACTATATGTGCGGTTTTAAGTATAATGTTTATCTAAACAGAGCGGAACTGCACTTATTTGTTCGTGCAATTTCACCACGAATTAAGGTATTCTTTTTCGTTATGATAATGTACACAACAAGATAATTAAATTCAACTTAAATTAAATCTTTTTACAGTGAAAGCAGTCGGTGAATAAACGTCAAATAGAAGAAAGAAAAAAACACACGCAAAATATTTTGTTTCATCTAATGTGAAATTCATAGCAATTATTTTTCGATGAAATTCTGCATAGCCACCACGTTTATTGAAGAAAATCATCATCTTGGCAGCGCACATAAATCAGCGTGAAGTTTCATATTCTTTTCTTTCGTTCGTATTTATTTGTGCTTCTGAAATAAAATTATTTATTCACAAAACTAAATAGTTGCCAAATCTTTCCCTTTATTTGTTTATGAATCAATGATACATTCAACACTTCGGGTTGTGTAATTAATGGTAACCAGAAAAGAAAATGAACACCGACATAAATTTTTGAAAGAGTGATATACTTTCAAAACAATAATGAACTATTCACCATTGCCAGTGGAAGAAGAGGATTGTATAGAAAACAGACGATGTGTACCAACGATTATAAAGTCATCTCACCCAACAATACACAATTTACAAACAGGTATTTGTTCTCAAATTTTATTTAAAGTTAGACTTTGACATTTACTCTTATTATTCTCTTTGTTAAGCGCTTCAGACAATGAATATTCTCACTCATACGGGGGATACTGTTCAGTCAACAGCTGTCGCTGTGGGTATTCGACTGATGTTTTCAAGAATAGGTAAGTGCATCTGTACTTATCTTCTTCTTTTTTTTTTTTCTAAACCAGTTTATTTAAAACTACGTAATAAATTTACACAACAAAGCGCGCCTAGCCCATTATATGTTGAGAGAAAGTGAAGCGACAAAGTAAAAGACCCAGGTCAAAGAAAATGAGACATAAATGAGCCATTTATGAGCAATAAATGATATGGGCTTAAAATCACGTTAGAATGATCATGTGATGGCTTAAAAATGATGTAGAAATGACATCATTTCATGGT